TTTGTTATTGTGTAGATTGTATTTTATATACTGTAGGTCCTCTTGTCGGGTGCAAAAAGCGAAGTTTGAATCGTTCAAATTGGCCCACTTATGCTTAAGCACTGAAACCTTGAAAATATTAAAGGATGAAAATCGACCTCTACGCCACCACTTCTTCTTTAACGCGCATGTTGTGATTCATAGTGCGTTGAAGGGCAATAAAGGTTGCTACATGGATCAAAATGGTTGATAAGCTGTGTTTTCACTCATTTTTGATGTTACTTCATGTTTGGTCTACAGTTCGGTGGAGAGTCGAAAAACTGGTGCACTGCACTATCGCAGCTGGCTGAAGATCTGAGACACAGATTTGTAGACGAATGAACCAAATATGACAGTATTGAGTCACTTCATCAAAATAGTTCTCTAACGTTTCTGGATTACGTTTTCGGCATTGAAAACCTAACCTGTTGTGTGTAAAAGTTATTAATCTGTCTGATGGTATCTTTAGAAAAAATTAGTCAGATGGCAAACATCCTTTCTCTGAGCAGATTTAGATAAATGTTTTCATAAAATTTTACTACAGTTCCATAAGTCTTTTAATATATATATATGAGTGAATGGCATGGCCATTGTATCGTTCATTTTCTACTTGTAACAGGAGAATAATTTATTTTCCTGTGAAACAATTTTAAAGCTTTTATTTTGTTTATCTACACTAGGCCTACTACTGTGCTAAAAGCCAACCTTTTGTATCGTGTATTTTACGAGATATAACTCTTGCATTTCGGCGTTAATTGGTCTTTAGCGCCGTCTACCGAGAGAAAACGAATTTTTTCGGACATACTTAGTCTTTCAAGAGTAATATTACTTTCCGTTTTGTAGACCACATCTTTCTATACAATCCTACATCATTTGATTCCAGATAGAAGGAAAATTCTAATCAGAAAAGTTGGTCTTTGCTCTGTTACACAACTTTGAAATTTCTGTCCGGTGAGATTTTAAAGTGTAATGTCGATCGAAGAAAAAACTGGAAATGATTGTCAATAAGTAGAATTAATACAGCTTCGAGTGTGTAACAAATTGATAAGAAAATGTATCTTGAAGAGTCCTTTCTTTGTATATAAAATTGTATTATATTATTGGAAATGGAGGCTTCATCAGCACCCGATAAGATTTTGGGTTTTGTTTTTAAACTTTAATCATTTTCAGACCTTATGAGGTTTCATATTTGGTAGAAGAATGAGCTTGAAATATTGCGGAGGAGAAATTTGAAAAATACTCGAAAATGTCCTTTGGAAATAGAACCGAAATTCAACTTACGACGCACATTCAAGTCGGCTGAATGTGCTCTATCCAATCACGAAACTCAAAAGGGTTAGTTAAGGAATTGACGACGAGTAATGACTCCCAAAAGTCACCTTCAACTAAAAATCTTCGTTTTCGGCATTTCTAATGGAAAATCCAAGTGATAAAGTTTTGGCAGTTGCATCATCGGATTTAGCTCATCAAGATCTATCAATCTATGCATAATACTTGTTATTTTTCTCAAGTATAATTAGATTTTTTCTACAATCATCCTGGGGATTCAGCTGGTCGTAGCACCGAAAACACATTTTTTCGCTGTTTTGATTATAATGTGTTGGAAAAAAGGTTTCCTACTTAACATCTGGAGTGGGCAAACTCAACTCGACACTCTGAGAATGCTCTTGTAAGCAATTTATATTTTTCGAACTTTTGGTTCAGCGGTTGCCATTCTGTCATTTATATTATAGTCGTTGCAGTTTCTTACATTCTTTCCAATACTGTAGTCTGAATTCATTTTGGGGAGCGGAGTCTTACACTTTAGAAATTTTGTGATAATACTTTTGAATGTTACGCTTCATCCTTTGGCAAACGTTTCTTTTCGAAAGTCTCTTTTTAGCTTGTGGTTGAGACTTCCTCCTTTCCAGTTGGATCAAAAGTAAAAGTTCAACTATAAAAAAGATGCCATGAAATTTTAGAAAAATTTGATTATATGTCTACTTCTGGCATTTTTCAAACAACTGAATGTACCAAAAATTATTTTTCAACAAGGTGTATCTTATTTGAAAAACTTAAGCTACGCAGTGTTGATCGAACTTTGTTCTATCAGATAATTTACGCAGCACTTTTTTCTTATATAGAAAACGCCTCTACAGCAAATTGTATTACTATCATGTTACGTATGACACAGCATATATTGTTTTCAGTCCCTGAAAAAAAATATTTCAGTTAACCACTTCACATTCTTTACCTGACGAATTTCCGTTTCATTAATTTGTAACTATATTGTATATCGGACAGTATTTACCTATGTGGAAAGAAAAAAGTATATCCATTGAGGTTTTCTTCCACAGATACAAACTGTTTCTTTCGTCGTAGTTATGCTTCTTACTTGTTCCTAATTTGACTCATTTTCTTTTCTGTAAATAAAACAACATGTGAACACCGAAAATTATTATTTTTGTATGACAGAAAATTTTGACATTTTTAAGCCTAGAATGGAGTCTATCTGTTGATTTGAAAATTTCTTTGAGAAACCTTAGTTGAAAGTTGAAGATAATACGTTACCCCTTCATTTCAACCTAAATAGCTTTACTAATAGTCAGCACCGTATGTGTAATGATGCTAATTATAATAATTTACAACTACCTACTTTTTTCTATAAAGAAGCGTGACTTCAGAACAACATAATGATGTGCGAAGAAGATTTGACTAGAATATTTATTATTAACAGGCTTTTTAGAATACTCGGTATATCTATCCGGGTTTCCAAAATGGTTTTCTGTTGGATCTGTAGCATTCGCAGTAATAGCAGCATTAATACTATCGCCTGCTAATGAATGATTTCACTATATGTGGAGATTAACATGAAGTGTATAGGATGATGTGATATAAACGTCCGGACCAAAAGAGAGTTAGACCAAAAAGGACACCGGGAGAAAAATAAAATAAAAGGTGCTGAAAACTCAGTCCGTTCTTTATTTGCTAACTGCCGACTACATTTTTAGGCTTATTATAACCCAGACCTACTGTATATAAAATACAATCTACACAATAACAAAAAACTGCAGTATCTGATCATGTAGATTTAATAAAATTTTTGCAAAATTAGAAAGGAGAGCACAATAGAACCATACGCATTCGCTAACTATGCTCAGTTGACAAGCTGCCCTTTTGCTTTAGATAAATTCATAGTTGTAACCGGTTGAATTTTGTGCACCCAGAGCGGCTGCTTTTCTAGTGGGTTGAATGCGTAGTCCAACCGGTAAAAAGCCGGTCGATTCTATATCAGATATAAAGTTATGATTTTGTAAAAATCGATTTATTTTTAGAAAGCTAACCTTGTTTATCTTCAAAATCGGATTTAGGTATTTTAGCATGAACGTGAGGATGAGCATTGAATACGAAGTTCAACCCAATAAGAAAATTTTTTTTCTAGTAGTCTCCATAGTTAGAATGTGAAATAAATAAAACACATCAGTCATTGAAAGTCTCAAGGTTAATGTGTGCTCATGAAACTGGAGACTGCGAAAGTTGACTCGAGAAAAATAAAATCCTTTCTGTTTATTTTCTTTAACCATCTTTTATCTGTTTTAGCGGTACGCCGACATTTCCACGAACGATATTACCGCGAAACGCCATTATGACGACATAGACCATAGGTGGCAAATTTTCATAGTACACATTAGGTATTGATAACTAAACTACTTTTTCAACTCACTCTCACACTGCCCTCACCTGCTTGGTGAACAACAAACAAAAACTGTTATTAGACGCGTTTCTGACTGCTATTAGCAGAGATAGAGAGCGATACGAGAACAAGTGTCTTGGCTTAAGACTCCTTGAGCTCGACTTAAAACTTTAATTTTTACGGTTAAATGTTTTTTGTATAAAAAAACGCATCAACTACTTTTTATATTTTATATATATATATTGCTTGTTTAGAATATTGATTGTGGTATCACAGAAAATAAAGTTGTTGCTTATTGCGACGCGTTTCGTTTTAATTAAAAATACAACTCATCAGGCAAATATTTTGATCTCTTTATAATTATTTGTAATATCACCACAAAACTTCCTATGGTCTATGTCGACATAATGGCGGTTCACGGTAATGTCGTGTCATGCATAATAAAACAACTATTTGAAAGAACGCATTACGAATCTTATAATAAATCATCATTAACGTCTGATTATCATTGCATAATGACTGTTATATATATACATCAATTTGGCAAATGTAAAATGACTTAATAGATCATTTCTGGGATCTACTACCTTTTTTCCATCTCCGTCGGTTGACATCTCGAACTTATGTTCTGCAGTTTTCATATTTCACTTGTGATTCGAAACCGGCATCACCCGGTTGGTTGAAGTGTAGTTAAACTGGTAGAAAAACCGACCAG